AAAAAAAAAAAAAAAAAACTGACTGAGCCACCCAGGCACCCTGGGAATCTCTTAACATCACCTTAACACCCAAAATGAGGAGACTCTTTGATGGTTGGATTCAGGTATTGGTAACCCATTGGTAGAACTACGTGGGGGCAAGGGAGCCCTACAAGTAACTCCATATAGGTGATCACATAGGTGTTTTGGGTGGAAAGTGGTGCTATGTGAGGGAGGTATGGATAATACAGAGAGGGGTGATGTAGGATAAGGTGACGATGTGGTATGATTTGGTGGAAGAAGTAGCTCTGGACTCAGAATCTATAATAAAGTCAAAGGCATTTGACTCCATGAGCTCAGCAAACTTTTCTGTGAAAAATGGATGTCATTGCTCTTGAAATAAAAAGGTGGAAAAAAGGCTGAAGAATCCAACTCTGGAAAATACTGGCATCTTACAGTTTGGGTTTCCAGGGTGAAACATTTGCATGTTCCTGGGCAAAGGAGATTTTTTTTTTTTTTTCTATGAATCAGTAAAATGTGGTTTTTAGCAAGCTACCTCTTGGCTACTTTGATAGTACTCAAGGCTATCAGGGATCTTGGAGGTCTTATAATCCTTATAAAATTATAGATGAGGTGGGGCGCCTGGGTGGCGCAGTCGGTTAAGCGTCCGACTTCAGCCAGGTCACGATCTCGCGGTCCGTGAGTTCGAGCCCCGCGTCGGGCTCTGAGCTGATGGCTCAGAGCCTGGAGCCTGTTTCCGATTCTGTGTCTCCCTCTCTCTCTGCCCCTCCCCCGTTCATGCTCTGTCTCTCTGTGTCCCAAAAATAAATAAAAAAACGTTGAAAAAAAAAAAATTATAGATGAGGAAACGGAGGCCCAGACTGAGGGCCCAAATTATCACAGCTGGAGCTGAGAACAGAACACCATTCCCCAGGCTCCTCAGTGCCCTTCCATTGTCTTCCTAAGGGAGACATGGCAGATAGGGTGCGGTGGCTTAAAGAAATGATTTTCAGTTTTCCAACCTGAATGCATGTTTCAGACCATCTTTACAACAATCTCCTAAATGTGGCTGTTGCTAAGCACATATAAAAAAGCCAACTGGTCAGTGATTCGTAATGACAACAATTGGCACAAACTCATAATCAATAAATCAAAATGAGCTCATAAAAGTGATAAGAATATAATGTACAATTCTGGGGAAGTATTATTATTGTTATAAATAGCAGATTGAGAACTACATGGAAGCTTGATAATACACAATTTGGGGGAGGGTGTGCAGAAACAAGTTTTTCTCACAGAACCTGACCCTTCTTTCACAGTTGCTGCTGAAAGTATAAATTCAGACCACCTCTTGTACAATTTTTATCAAAATTTAAAGGGTGCCTACCCTGTGATGCAGTGTTTCTCCTTCTAGATGGTATAAGCTTGGAGAAACGCATGCAAAATGTACTTAAAGAAACATATACAAAGATATTTATTAAAGCATTAACATTTTAAAAATGAAAATAATGCCTACCAATCAAAATGATTCAAGAGTCTTATATTATATTGTAGCACTCTAAAAGCAATGAGCTAGATCTCTGTGGTTCAAAGTGGATATATCTCAAAAACATGCAAGCTTTTGAGAGAGTAAAGTCTTTATATAAGCTTCCTAAAAACAATACAGTGTATTTCCTATTGATAAATTATATGTATAAAAAACTTTGTTCAGGGTCCCTGGGTGGCTCAGTCCATTGAACATTGGACCCTTGATTTGCGCTCAGGTCATGACCTTGTGGTTCGTGGATGCAAGCCGTTCGTTGGGCTCTGCATTGACAGTGCAGACCCTGCCTGGGATTCTCTGCCTCCCTCTCTCTCTGCCCTCCCCCTGCTCATGCTCTCTCTCTCTCTCTCTTTCTCAAAAATAAATAAACATTTCTTAAAAACCTGTTTTTTCAAAAAAGATCTGCAAGGATTTATGTCAAACTCATAGCAGTGGGTATCTTTGGGGAGGAAGCAAACAATATGGAATCAAAGAGGACCTTAACTTTATCTGAAATGTACTATTTTTACAAAAGGGAATACTCACATATAGCTGATATGATTTAAAATTGACCTTCAATGGTTAAATCAAAAGGAACAACTAATAGGACATGTCCACAGGTCCTATGGTATATTTGATAATTACATTCTCTATTGTAGCAGCTTCCAACATATCCGAATACCATATAACATCCTTGTTGGATACGGATACAGAATTCAAGCTCATTCCAAAGAGCAGCAAAATGTCATTCTTCTGAAAGAGTTATTAATAGCACAGCCTACTCAGGGTCTAATTATTCAGTGTGCAGATTACACAAGATCTTTCTTTCTTCCTTCCCTGACTCTAACTCCTTCCTACTGCCCGCTTTTCAAGCACTTCATTATTCTTCTACACCTTAACCAGAAAATGCAAGGGGCATGGAGAAGAGAAAGAGTCAGCTCAGCCTTTTCTCCCCTTTGGTGGGTGTTGGAAAGCCCTGGTTGGAAAGCCCTGGTGCAGGTGAGGGTTGGAATTATTCGGTGAAGATAAGTGTGTTCAAGTATCTATGTCTCTAGGACTGCCCTTATCATGGAGGGAGTACGGACTGGCTCACCCAGAGGGACGAGAGGGACCCAGAATGTCACATTCACCTTCCATAGATGTCAGAGTTGCCACAATCGGAGCACCTTCTGGGAGGGGGACATTATTTCTAGAGAATCATTGAGGAAATGTAAATATGCATTGGGAAATGTGGCCAGGGCAAATGCGGTTAGATAAAATGCAAAAATTGAGGATGTGAGGAGACCTCAAAACCACCGTGGCAGCCGCTGCTTCCTCCGCCGCCGCCACCACCATAAAAATAGTAACTAGCACTGTGGTAAATTCTTTACAGGTGTTATCTCATTTCATCTGTACAGTACCTTGTGAGATAGGTATTGTCCCACTTTTTAGATGAAGAAAGTGAGCAGTTGCTTAGCAATTAAGTAACTTTCTCAAGGTCACAGAAAGTGGTGAAAGATGGACAAGTGCAATCCCTGCTTTCTTTATATTATACTGTTTTCTCCAACATATTAGTACAGATTGGTTTCAGAGAGCAAAGACTCAAGGCTTATCCTCTTAGGTAGTGCTATAAATGGTCTACTTGGTACAGATTCATCATTATATACATTGGTTTCATGGTTTATCTTCTCTACCACATAGAAGTTCTATAATGTTTGGAACTGGATGTATGTTATTTACCATTGTATCCCTGGTTCCTAGTCCAGAGCTTGGCGTAAAGTAGGTACTTGATAAATTTTTGTCCAATGAATGAATGACTGCGTGAGACAGACTGAAGGAAGATCTTGAACACTGTTGGTAAACTACTGCTTATCCACTAATTAAGCCTAAATGCTTGAGTCTTGCAGTTCCCCCTCTTCTGAGTGGAGACGACTTGCAAACCGTTGAGGAAGGCAGTGATGTGAAGTTGGTTTGTAATGTGAAATCCAACCCCCAGGCTCGAATGATGTGGTACAAAAACAGTAACATCCTGAATTTAGAGCAAAATCACCAAGTCCAACAGACAAGTGAGTCTCTTCAACTGTCAATCACCAAAGTCAAGAAATCTGACAATGGAACCTATAGCTGCATTGCAAATTCATCTCTGCAAATGGAGACCAAGGACTTTCACCTCATTGTCAAAGGTAACTCTCTTTTTAAGTAATATCCAGCACAGTGCAAAAGTCAGAATAGGTTCTCACTAAACATTTTGTGTGGCAACAAATGATGATGCTAATTATGGTTAATAGCCAATGATTTTCTTTGGAGAATCACCCCTATCCAAGAAATTTCCACTAAGAATTCTAATTCATGGGGCACCTGGGTGATTCAGTTGGTTAAGCATCCACCTTCAGCTCAGGTCATGATCTCATGGTTCATGAGTTTGAGCCCCACATCAGGCACTGCACTGACCTGATCATGAAAAGCCTGCTTGGGATTTTCTCTCTCTTCCTCTCTCTGTGCCCCTCCCCCACTTGCACACTCTGTCTCTCAAAATGAATAAATAAACCTAAAAAAAAAAAAAAGAATTCTAATTCTTCCATTTAGGGGATCATGCCCATTCCATATGAAACACTGCTTTTTGAGCAAAGGTCCTTTCTAGAACCAAGTGGTAGCAGATAATTCTGGTTGGCTTTTAGGGAGGAGTACTTCTGTAAATTCTCCTGGGCCACTAGGTTTGTAGGAACTGGACTTTTGAGTTTACAGCCTAATGATAAATAGAAAGAGAAGTCAGAAACACATAAAGAAGGGAAGACAGATAAGAAAATGAATCTCTGAAATCACTCCTGACTTGGGGTGCCTGGGTGGTCCAGTTGGTTAAGCATCCGACTTTGGCTCAGGTCATGATCTCACAGCTTGTGACTTCAAGCCCTGTGTCGGGCTTTGTGCTGACAGTTCAGAGCCTGGAGCCTGCTTCAAATTCTGTGTCTCCCTTTCTCTCTCTGCTCCTTCCCTATTCATGCTCTGTCTCTCTCTCTCTCAGTCTCTCTCTCTCAAGAATAAACATTTAAAACATTTTAATAAAAAATTTAAAAAAGTAATACAATCACTCTTGACCCTGAAATTGTAATCTATAGGCTAATCAGTAGTGAGGGAGGGGGAAGATGGTGGAAAAATGTCTTTCTCTTGGGCTTCATGCTTCATCCCAGACTTTTCACCTCTTCAATAACAGAGAACAAATGAAATTTCAAATGTTCTTCCCTCCTCATATTTCTCATTCATACAAAAAGAGAAAGGGGACCTGAGCAGAGAAAGCAAGGAAGACAGTAGAAAGAAATGAGGTCAGAGAGCAAATGGAATATAGAACGGTGTTCCCACATTTCCACTTCCCACTGGCAATTGTGGCAAAATTTGACCTTGAGGTGAGCTGCACAAAAAGAAACTTTCAAGAACGCAGCTGTGATGCCTGAGTAGGAATAGCCATCTTGATACCAGGGTAAAGAAAGCTGCAGTCTTAGCACAGCAGAAAAGACCTGTAGAGGATGTTGGGTCTTGGGGACTTCTTTAGACAATGCCCCAGCCGGGGGAAAAAGCAGGACGGTGTGAGACAGAATTGGCAACAATCAAGCCTGTCAATCATTCTTTGCTGCTGTTCACTGAATAAAAGTTCAAAGATAACTTCCTTTTTGATACAGATCCTGAAAGTTTGGTTAAAATATTTAAGTTTTCTTAGATAACATCTCTTTTAATTTGAAACAAACATTTAGTAAGACCCTTACGTGTTAATTTTGCAGGGCGACTCGGTGGCTCAGTCAGTTAAGAGTCTGACTTGATTTCGGCTCAGGTCATTATCTCACGTCGGGCTCTGCACTGGGCACGGAGCTTGCTTAGGATTCTTTCTCCTTCTACTTCTGCCCCTCCCCCACTCATGAGCGCGCGCTCTCTCTCTCTCTCTCTCTCATGCTGTCAGAAAAAATGTTAATTTTGATTGCTGAATATATAGGCAAAAACATACCAAAAAAATCTTTAAGTTTGTTTTCATGTTAAAACTGCAATTATGAAGCTGAGAAGCATACCCGATTATGTCATCTGCAGACTTGGGCAAGCTAAGTTAATTTTCCAGTTAGAAAGCCTTAGTTTGGGGACATTTATGAACTCCCTTCTTACTCTAATTGGATAATGTTGATCAGTTGAAATAAAATTTTATTTTTCTGAAAAACAAACAAACAATACCAAAAAAAGCCCAAAAAACAAAAAAGAGAAAGGCAAGATACCTGGTGTAGCAGATGCAGAAAATGTTCACACATTTTCTGGTCTGAGGCCAGTACGCCAAGAACAGCCAAACAAGCTGAGGCTCCTATTTCTTGTTAGAACATTATTCATTCTCCCGTTTGCTTCCCTGTGCCCACTCATTGCCTTTCTTGCTAGTTCCTAGGAAGCCAACTGAATCCCTGCCAGAAGGGTTGGACGATGTGACAGGAGGGCTTATTTCCTGCCCCTCAGGGGGGTCTGGGACACCAACAGAGAGGCTGGTGGGGAGAAAGAGGTGCTGCCAGTTGAATGCCCATTACCGTGATTACTGGCATGCTCAGTAATTTGTCCTGCAGGGCAGTGAGAGTACCCCCAGGGTCTGTCCGCTTTAAAAAACCAAACCCACAAATAACCCAAGTACTCGTGGGGTAGAAGCAGTGGAAGAGGCAGCTTACTGAAGCTTGTGGCTATTCACCTCCCTGCGAAAGCTCGGTAGGTGGGGCCTCCAGCCATGCCATTCTAACTGGGTGTAAAAAGCTACCCGCAGAGATCAGGGAATTATATCATCCCTCTTGGTTAAGAAGGAATCTTAAGTGCTCTGCGAGATAAAAAAAAACATACAACTTGTGTGGCAAGCAGGATGTCAGCTTGACAAATTGGCTTTCAGGTGGGCAGGATCCTGTTTTGGATGGAACCCTTCCAAGCCAACTTGTTTTTCTTATTTCTTCCTGCTCTATTATTTCCCAGGCTGTCAGCTGCTTTCACAGCAATAAGTGCTCTGCTGCCTGTGCTCAGGCTGAATGTGTTTGCCACGAGCCTCTCCTGGCTTCAGGGCTCCGTAGGGTAGTTTCTAAATGGGGCCATGCAAAGCTAGAAGTGTAATTACAGATCTTGAGCACGAGAATTTACCCTGTGTGTTGGGATTTTCTTGCATAATAAATATGGAGGGGGAAAAATCACCAAATCTGGTTACAAATAAGAGAATAAAACAGGGGGCGCCTGGGAGGCTCAGTCGGTTGGGCAATCGACTTTGGCTCAGGCCGTGATCTCACAGCTCCATGAGTTCGAGCCCTGCATCAGGCTCTGTGCTAAGCTGTCAGCACAGAGCCTGGAGCCTGCTTTGGATTCTGTGTCTCCTCTCTCTCTGTCCCTCCCCTGCTCGCACACTGTCTCTCTTGAAAATAAACATTACAAAATTAAAAAAAAAAAAAAGAGAGAGAGTAAAACAGGACAACAGGAGAGATGCAGTTATACTGACCAAAGTCACTTTCATTAGAAACTTGAAATCCAAAGGGAGCCTTAGTGGATCAGGCAGTTTATATCAGCTTGTTTAAGGAGTGAAAGCTGTCACGTGGGGCTTCATTTAATTCAGCTTGGTAAAAATATCCAGATCTTTGACCAAATTCTGATTTCTTTTCCTAATTGCCCCTCCTTTGCCTCCCCTTCATTTTGACATCTTTCCTTGGCACTGAAAGTAGAAAGGGCCCCTACTAAGGTTAAGGCTCTTCGGTGTCCCCCAGGGCTGGCTCTCACAGGGCCGGTGCTTATAAGAAGGCCCACGGAGCAGAATTTCTCCAGAATATTGGTGCAGCTCACACTCTCATGAGAAAAATTTTTAGTAACAGCTAAAAGAGAGCCAGAGTAAAGGATGCTTAATCTACTTACTCCCCAAAATTATCCTGCACAGTAACTAGACATACAGGAAAGAAGAAAACAAGTGAAAGTTAAGTGGTTTAAGTGTGTCATACATTTATGGAGGGATAAATGCTATTTTATAATCTTGAGGGAAATAGGGCTTGGGCTTTGAAATGAGATTTATCTAAAGTCTTCTCTTCCCCTCCTTTCCACCTTTTGCCCCTCATATACTATTTCACGACCCTATGTCCTTTATAACACTGATCTCAGTCTGTGGTTTTTGTTTCATGTCTGTCTTCACTACTAGAATGTGAGCCCCATGAGGCCTTCCATGTCTGACCTATTTTTTGCAGGGCTGAGCACCATACCTACCTCACAGTAGTCATTTAGTAAAAACTTTTTGACCACACTCAATCTACAAACTCAAGGGCACAATAAATAGCACACTTTTTATTTCCTATAAGTTCCTAAAATATTATCTTAGCAAAGATTGGAGCCCCGCTCCCTGCCCCTGGTCCCGGGGTGGCATCAGAATCCAGGGGCTTGGGTGAGGTCATTTAAACATCTTTGTTGATCTTACTTTTAAAAGTTTCATCCCATGTCATATCAAACTTATTAAAATGAATCACACACAGTATACTTTTTTGCTGTAAAAATTTTGAAAGGATGTTTGTAACTTGCATACATTTTGAGTTTTATTATATATAAGTTGTTAATGTGGTTCTTAAGGTTTAAATTTGGCTGTTGGGTTACAGTTGACATAAAGCTACGTTTTATAGATATTTAAACATTTATTAATTTTGACCAATCTGCCACTTTATTTTCATATTTTGGAACCAATATGTATTTTCCAGGTCTCAAATATTTTCACAGGCTTTTGGGAAGCTTGCAAGTGCAGGCACTGTGCCTGCAGTGCCTGATGAACAAAATAGCTCTGAGTTTACCTGGTATTCAGAAAATGATGGGCTGGGTTTTCATTTCCAGGCTGTTATGATTGCTGCTGATCTCTTTCTAACCCAGGTTAGAAGTACACTCTCTGGGACCCCTGGGTGGCTCAGTCAGTTGAGCGACCGACTCTTGATTTCCATTCAGTCACGGGATCGAGCCCCACATCAGGTTCTGTGTGACGGCACAGAGCCTGCTTGGGATTCTTTCTCTCTTTCTGTCTCTCTCTCTGCCCCTCCCCCACTCACAGCCCCCCCCCCCCTTCAAAATAAATAAATAAACATTAAAGAAAAAAAAAAGTAGACTCTCTGTTCTTCCACGTCATTTAGAAAGGTATGAAAATCTTTGCCAAGGTTAGGAAGGCTGGTGCTCAGAGTCCCATTTCCCTAGGGGCACCGTGCAGTCACCTTATATAATGTCCTCTCCCTGCTTAAGGCACTATCACAGTACAGCTACAAGGGTCCCCACCTCTCCTGGGGCCCACAGGCCTCTCTCCCCTTAGTCCAGCAGGCTCCTCAACTTTTCTTGCTCTTAAAGCCTTCCTCCCTCCTTTTCTCAGAGATCCCTCCCAGTATCTTTTGGGCTTTCAAAGGGCAGGAAAAACCATTGATTTCAGCCTATTTCTACCTTCTGAGTGGAAAAATTTTGGATGAAGAAAGCACAAAATGGTCTGACTACCCGTTTGGGGGGAGTGATTCATATTATAATAAATTATCCTTTCACAAAGGGATGGATTCAAAACCCATCTCTGCTAATTACTAGCTCTGTGACTCTGGACAAGAGGTTCCTCACCTGCAAAATGAGGTTACTAACACCTACCTTTCTGGGTTGTTTGGAGGATGATACATGTTGAGTGCAAGGTGCCATGGCTGGGACTTAGTAGAAGCATATAAATGAGAAACATATAGCGGTGCCTGGGTGGCTCAGTCGGTTAGGCATCCGAATTTGGCTCAGGTCACAATCTCATGGTTCATGAGTTGGAGCCCCACGTCGGGCTCTGTGCTGACAGCTCACAGCCAGGGGCCTGCTTCGGATTCTCTGTCTCCCTCTCTGTCTCTTAAAAAATAAATAATTTTTTTAAAAAAAATTAAAAAAAAGCATATACATGTTAGTTCTTATCTCCTGTGTTTGCATTTCCAACAGATAAAGGTGTGGCTATACCCATAGAACCCATTATTGCTGCATGTGTTGTGGTCTTTCTGACATTGTGCTTTGGACTCATCGCTAGAAGAAAAAGTATAATGAAGGTATTGAAGTATTCTAAGATATTTAGGTAAAAAATCATCTAAATACAGGCAGACAACTGGCTATATAAATGACTCTAGAATTGGGAACCATACTTGGACAATATGGTCTCTCTAAAGACCTAAAGTGGAAGTTGCTCAAAGGCATAAAAATTGTATGTATGTTATAAGGATGGCTTTAACAAAAGAGTGGAAGTGCATATGGACAAAACCTGAATGAAAATAGCTGTGGTGTTAGGAGTAGGGGATTTGGGGCTGATTTTTTCTTCCTTTTAAATTTCCCTTTATTGTTGCTATGGTACCTCTGGTACAATAAATAAATATACAGGGAAACATCTGCTGTGGATTCAGAGACCTGCATGAAAAAGGTGGCACTTTTTGCTCACCTCCTGAGCACAGCCACAAGGGCAGCTGCAGCAGCGGGG